GGGCCAGATACCAACCTGTAGTGGACAGCCTGCAACATACTGTAACCTGCAAGGGAGAAAGAGGGAGATGGGGAAACAGATGAAAGACAGTAGTAAAGGGCTATTCAGTGTCCTAGATGGGAAGAACTGAGCTGATGGATGCTTTCCACTTCTCTGTGGAGAGGTATCCATATTACAAAAAACATAACCAAAAGATGTACCAACTGGAACCTTAGTTATACATCTCAGTAGACACCATTATAGTCCATCTAGATTAAGGTTGAAGGACTGGTGGGGCAGGTAGGGGAAACCTGTACTCCTGCTGTTCCTTTTTTAGATAAAACACTTCAGACTCAAGTGCTGTAAATGTGGCATTTTAAAAGAGTGCCAAGTTAACTTTAAAACAATGTGAAAGAGGTGCAGGCATTTACAGTAGGATGAGAAAGGGAGACCTCATTGAGAAATCAAAGACAAATGAAATGCATTAAAAATTGCAATGACCATTTTCTTGGTGATTTATGATCTAAAGAAGTAAAGCCTCTGTCAAGTGTATCAAGTGACCCGATAGCAGACAATCCAGTAGTGCAAAGGTGCTGTTACAAATAGGTTTCTTTATTGAGCTCTGACAGCCAACGGCTATTTGTCACTCATTGTAGTGTTCGTTTAACAGAATTTTACCCCCAAACAAGAAAACAGTGTACACATTTAATGTGAACATAGCATGGCAAATCATGAATGATGGGATCTGATGGTATGAAATGAATAATCCTTCAAGACGCCTGGTGTGCTGGCCTGTTTGCTGCATTAGTCAGATGCACAATGTAGCTCATAGAACCACTGCCAGAAAATCTCACCACACCCAGAAAGCTCTGAAAAAAAAGCCTATTTTAGTTAGTACTTTAAAATAAAATGCCTGCAAGCTAACTGGACCTTACAGAGAAAGAAAAAAAAAAACAATTTAGCCTCTTCTTCCTCACAAAGCCTAAATCATTGAAAGGGCTTTTAATTTTTGAAAACCTCAGCCAGTATGTGAGCTACTGGGTGGGTGTGCTCATGCTGGAGTGCATGTGTGACTTCAGAATGAAGTTCTGTGCAAAGGCGCCACACAAGGCTTATATGCCCACTCCTGTCCCACTCTTCGGGTTTAAGTGCTGTGTAGGCCTCCCAGGGGCTTTCTGCACATGGGTGAATTTCACCTTTGGTGCTTGTAAAAAGTGCCAGAGAGATCACCTTGGAGACTGAAATCCTCCCTTTATCCACAGAAGAGTTACAGCACACATAGAGACAATGCAAGCTGCCTCCCAATGCCCTGCCACATTACCTCAGCTCTTCTAAAGAGGGCCCATCTTTAGAGAATGAGAAAGTAGTTCTGTCTCTGTGTGCATTCAGTGCTTGGTTTCTTTGCTGAGCCTTCCACCAAGTACGCTGATTAATGGCAGATGCGAGGGCAGTTCTGAGATGTGGATACTTGTCTGCTGAGGTCTGAGACTATCTGCCAGAGTGGGGATGTGAGCCGTCACGCCCAGTAGTTGGAGCAGGTGTCAGGCCTAGTGGCTGGGGCAGGAGTTGGTAATCAGGGGCAGAGCAGGAGTCGGAAGTCAGGAATTGGAGCCGAGAGTCAGAGCCAGGTTACCTGGAGTGGGGCAAGGCCGGGGTGGGGCAGGGCCCAGTCTGGGACAGAAGCTGGGCTGGGAACAAGCAGGCACAGGAGCTATTGCAGCTGTGGGCAAATGCTTTGCGCAGCCTACGGTTGCCAGTTATGGTTGGACATATTCCAGGAGGTTTCATCACATGACATAATCTTTAATTCTTGGAGACTCCAGGACAAGCCTGGAGGGTTGGCAACCCTAACGTAGCCACTGCACTGCTGCTGCACTTAAGAGCTGGTCTTCTGACTCTTCTCACTAGTCAGGTGGTATAGCCACGCAATCAGCCTACTCCAGGCCAGCTGCGCTTGTTAGGTGGCCCAAAGACTGGCTCTGCTGTAGGCCCCAAAGGTGATCCCGGCAATTACAAGCCAGTAAGCCCCACTTCAGTACCAGGCAAACTGCTTGAAACTATAGTAAAGAACAAAATTGTCAAAAACATAGATGAACATAATTTGTTGGGGAAGTGTCAACATGGTTTTTGTAAAGGGAAATCATGCCTCACCAATCTACTAGAATTCTTTGAGGGGGTCAACAAGCATGTGGACAAGGGGGATCCAGTGGATATAGTGTACTTAGATTTTCAGAAAGCTTTTGACAAGGCTCTTAAACAAAGTAAGCTGTCATGAGATAAGAGGGACGGTCCTCTCATGGATTGGCAGCTGGTTAAAAGATAGGAAAAGGGTAGGAATAAATGGTCAGTTTTCAGAATGGAGAGAGGTAAATAGTGGTGTCCCCCAGGGGTCTGCACTGGGACCAGTCCTATTCAACATATTCATAAATGATCTGGAAAAAGGGGTAAACAGTGAGGTGGCAAAATTTGCAGATGATACAAAACAGCTAAGTCTCAAGCAGACTGCGAAAAGCTACAAAAGGATCTCACAAAACTGGGTGACTGGGCAACAAAATGGCAGATGAAATTCTATGTTGATAAATGCAAAGTAATGCACATTGGAAAACATAATCTCAACTATACATATAAAATGATGGGGTCTAAATTAGCTGTTCCCACTCAAGAAAGAGATCTTGGAGTCATTGTGGAAAATTCTCTGAAAACATCCACTCAATGTGCAGCGGCAGTCAAAAAAGCGAACGGAATGTTGGGAATCATTAAGAAAGGGATAGAAAATAAGACAGAAAATATCATATTGCCTCTATATAAATCCATAATAATCCCACATCTTGAATACTGCATGCAGATGTGGTCGCCCCATCTCAGAAAAGATATCTTGTAATTGGAAAAGGTTCAGAAAAAGGCAACAAAAATGATTAGGGGATGGAACAGCTTCTGTATGAGGAGAGATTAATAAGACTGGGACTTTGCAGCTTGGAAAAGAGATGACTATGGGGCGATATGATAGAGATCTATAAATTCATGACCGGTGTGGAGAAAGTAAATAAGGAAGTGTTATTTACTTCTTCTCATAACACAAGAACTAGGGATCTCCAAATGAAATTAATAGGCAGCAGCTTTAAACAAAAGGAAGTATTTTTCACACAGTGCACAGACAACCTGTGGAACTCCTTGCTAGAGGATGTTGTGGCAAAGACTATAACAGGGTTCAAAAAAGAGCTAGATATGTTCATGGAGGATAGCTCTATCAATGGCTATTAGCCAGGATGGGCAGGGACAGTGTCCTTAGCCCAGAGATGGGCAAAATTTTTGGCCCAAGCGCCACATCTGGGGATGGAAATTGTATGGCGGGCCATGAATGCTCACAAAATTGGGGGTTGGAGTGTGGGAGGGGGTGAGGGATCTGGCTGGGGGTGCGGGCTTTCAGGTGGGGCCAGAAATGAGGAGTTCAGGATGCAGGAGGGGGCTCCGGGCTGGGGCAGGGGGTTGGAGTGTGTGTGTGGGGGGGGGTGAGGTCTTTCAGCTGGGGGTTCAGGCTCTGGGATGGGGCTGGGGAGGGTGCTCCAGGTGGGACAGAGGGGTTTGGCGGGTGGGAGGGGGATCAGGGCTGGGGCAGGGGGTTGGGATGCAGGAGGGGGGCAGGGGTGCAGGCTTCCGGAGGCGCTTACCTCAAGCAGCTCACGGAAGCAGTGACATTTCCCTCCTCTGGCTCCTACATGGAGGCGCAACCAGATGGTCTGCGCGCTGCCCCATCCATAGGCACCGCCCCTGCAGCTCCCTTTGGCCACAGTTCCCAGCCATGGCACACATGGAGTGGGGCAAGCCCTGGATCCCACTCCCCAGCTGGAGCTCGAGGGCCGGATTAAAATGTCTGAAGGGCCGGATGTGGCTCCCAGGCCGTAGTTTGCACACACCTGCCCTAGCCTCTGTTTACCAGAAGCTGGGAATGGGTGACAAGGAATGGATCATTTGATGATTACCTGTTCTGTTCATTCCCTCTGGGGTACGTGGCATTTGCCACTGTCAGAAGACAGGATACTGGGCTACATGAACCTTTGGTCTGACCCAGTATGGCCATCCTTATGTTCTTATGAGATCAGGTGTAACTGAGGGAAAATCACACACACACACACACACCCAGAGCAACCTAAATTTGACCAACCTAAGTGCCAATGTGGACCGCACTATGTTGGGAGGAGAGCATCTCCTGCCAACATAGCTAGCCCCCCTCTCAGGGGCTAGAGTAGTTAAGCCGAGGGGAGAGCTCTCTCCCGTCAGCTGAAAGCAGCCACATTAGAGCCACATTACAGCGGCAAAACTGCATCAATGCAGCTGCGTTGCTTTAAAGTCTCTAGTATAGCCCTGCCCTTAGACAGACGTGGATGTCTCTCTTCTGAAAGCCAGATGTGACTGCCATGTTCTGAAGTGCAAATGAATACTCAGCACCATGGGCTAATAGTAATGTCTCCTGACATGTACCCACTGTCACATCTTACTCATAGTTGTTGTCCTACAACCAACCACAACCTGTCAGATTCTGTAGCTAGGAAAGTGCTGTCTGATCTGGCTTAACTAGAATGTGACTGTCTAGCAAACACCTGAATGCCACGTCCAGTGCAACAGTGTATGTTTGAACTATGCAGCAGCCACTGTTGCACTGAGTGAAACCCAGCACACAAGAAAATAACTTCCTGTTATTGACTAAATTCTAATAAGAAATTGATCACAGATGCAAGCAGCTAGCCAGAAATAGGTTATTGCCATTTGGACCTGCACTGTACTTGGAAGTTGATGCTAATGACAGGCTAAAGAACATCCCAGGTATAGCAGTATGCCAGGCTGCAGTCGTATTTATTGGCAACACAGTAGACTCACTTACTTACAGTTTAAAGATTGAAAAGCAAGGAAATGAGTAACAGTGAGTGGAAGCAAGCAGCAAGAAATTATTCCTTTCCCTTTCTACTGTTTATATTTAGTGCTTAAGAACCTTATGTAAGAGAGTCAATAACAAAAATACTCACCCCCTCTACAACACTCATGGCCTGAGTTCCTGAAGCCCTGAAACAGCAACTGAGCTGTTGATGTTATCTCAGCATCTAAATATAGCCCTTGATCCAGTTCAGGCTTTCTGCAGATCCCTACTGGAAGGAAGCCATTTTTCTTGAGTGTATTTCCAAGAAAGCAGTTGACAGGCTTGGCACAGCGATTCTTGGAAATGTTCAATAGGTCATCTTCTGGAAGGGAATGCTGACTGGTGGAACCAAACAGACTTTTTTCTTAGCTCCACACACCACTCACTATTCTTATCAGGGCTCGTTCCCCAGGTGCAGCAACCTTATACAAAATACTATCTGCAGTAAATTGGCCTGATTAAGCCTTCTTCGAGTCTCATTTCCTTTCTGGCAGCAGAGCCACAACTGTTCTGCCGTTGCCAGGGTGCTTGCTGCTAAATGAAGACAGACAGCCTAAGACTAGAAATTACAGCACCACCTGTTGCTCACACCGGTGCAGTGGAAATCCCACTAAAACACAATGGGGAATTCTGAGAACACTGATTCTGGAAAAAGCTTTATTCCTTGCATGTGTTAACTCTGATCTAAAGCACACAACAGAGGCCGTTTTTTACCTTTTGCACAATTGTCCTGTTCTCCAGCGTTCATTCACCAATTCCAATGCCAGAAAGGACCATTGTGATGATCTTGTCTGACATCCTGTAAAACACAGGCCATAGAACTTCACTGAAAAATGAAGCTCATAGTGGAGTCCTGGGGGTTAGAAAGTTGCCCCTGATTGAGGTCAGAACATGTAGGGATAAAGTGAGACAGGCTAAAAGTCAAGTAGAGTTGGACCTTGCAAAGGGAATTAAAACCAATAGTAAAAGGTTCTATAGCCATATAAATAAGAAGAAAACAAAGAAAGAAGAAGTGGGACTGCCAAACACTGAGGATGGAGTGGAGGTCCAGGATAATCTAGGCATGGCCCAATATCTAAATAAATACTTTGGCTCAATCTTTAATAAGGCTAAAGAGGATCTTAGGGATAATGGTAGCATGACAAATGGGAAGGAGGCTATGGAGGTAGATATTACCATATCTGAGGTAGAAGCGAAACTCAAACAGCTTAATGGGATGAAATTGGGGGGCCCAGATAATCTTCATCCAAGAATACTAAAGGAATTGGCACCTGAAATTGCAAGCCCATTAGCAAGAATTTTTAATAAATCTGTAAACTCAGGGGTTGTACCGTATGATTGGAGAATTGCTAACATAGTTCTTATTTTTAAGAAGGGGAAAAAAAGTGATCCGGGTAACTATAGGCCTGTTAGTTTGACATCTGTAGTATGCAAGTTCTTGGAAAAAATTTTGAAGGAGAAAGTAGTTAAGGAAATTGAAGTCAGTGGTAAATGGGACAAAATACAACATGGTTTTACAAAAGGTAGATTGTGCCAAACCAACCTGATCTCCTTCTTTGAGAAAGTAACAGATTTTTTAGACAAAGGAAACGCAGTGGATCTAATTTTCCTAGATTTCAGTAAGGTGTTTGATACCGTGCCACATGGGGAATTATTAGTTAAATTGGAAAAGATGGGGATCAATATGAAAATTGAAAGGTGGATAAGGAATTGGTTAAAGGGGAGACTACAGCGGGTCCTACTGAAAGGTGAACTGTCAGGCTGGAGGGAGGTTACCAGTGGAGTTGCTCAAGGATCAGTTTTGGGACCAATCTTATTTAATCTTTTTATTACTGACCTCGGCACAAAAAGTGGGAGTGTGCTAATAAAGTTTGTGGATGATACAAAGCTGGGAGGTATTGCCAATTTGGAGAAGGACCGGGATATCATACAGGAGGATCTGGATGACCTTGTAAACTGGAGTATTAGTAATAAGATGAAATTTAATAGTGAGAAGTGTAAGGTTATGCATTTAGGGATTAATAACAAGAATTTTAGGTATAAGCTGGGGACGCATCAATTAGAAGTAACAGAGGAGGAGAAGGACCTTGGAGTATTGGTTGATCATAGGATGACTATGAGCCGCCAATGTGATATGGCTGTGAAAAAAGCTAATGCGGTCTTGGGATGCATCAGGAGAGGTATTTCCAGTAGGGATAAGGAGGTTTTAGTACCGTTATACAAGGCACCGGTGAGACCTCACCTGGAATACTGTGTGCAGTTCTGGTCTCCCATGTTTAAGAAGGATGAATTCAAACTGGAACAGGTACAGAGAAGGGCTACTAGGATGATCCGAGGAATGGAAAACTTGTCTTATGAAAGAAGACTCAATGAGCTTGGCTTGTTTAGCCTAACTAAAAGAAGGTTGAGGGGAGATATGATTGCGCTCTATAAATATATCAGAGGTATAAATACCGGAGAGGGAGAGGAATTATTTAAGCTCAGTACCAAAGTGGACACAAGAACAAATGCATATAAACTGGCCACCAGGAAGTTTAGACTTGAAATTAGACGAAGGTTTCTAACCATCAGAGGAGTGAAGTTTTGGAATAGCCTTCCAAGGGAAGCAGTGGGGGCAAAAGATCTATCTGGCTTTAAGATTAAACTTGATAAGTTTATGGAGGAGATGGTATGATGGGATAACATGATTTTGGCAATTAAATATTCATAGTAAATAGGCCTAATGGCCTGTGATGGGATGTTAGATGGAGTGGGATCTGAGTTACTTGTAGAAAATTCTTTCCTGGGTATCTGGCTGGTGAATCTTGCCCATATGCTCAGGGTTTAGCTGATCGCCATATTTGGGGTTGGGAAGGAATTTTCCTCCAGGGCAGATTGGAAGAGGACCTGGAGGTTTTTCTCCTTCTTCTGTAGCATGGGGCACAGGTCACTTGCTGGAGGATTCTCTGCTCCTTGAAGTCTTTAAACCACGATTTGAGGACTTCAATAGCTCAGATATAGGTGAGAGGTTTTTCACAGGAGTGGGTGGGTGAAATTCTGTGGCCTGCGTTGTGCAGGAGGTCAGACTAGATGATCGTAATTGTCCCTTCTGACCTTAGTATCTATGTAAGAATGCTGACTAGAGATACTTAAAAGTTCGCCATTTCTTCTAGTTTCTTCTGTAGCTATAATGTTTGTACTCCATGTTGTTTGCAATAAGCCTGACAATATTTATCTTCTTACCAATTCTGTGCTAGATCCTGGCATTTCACGCTAGATGAGAAAGCTGGCTTAGACAACTTCCACAGCCTCCATCCTTGCTCACACACATGCAGGCGGCAGGGCAGGATCTCTACCTACCATTCAGATATAGTGCTAGGGAGGGGATATCTGCCATGCAGGCCCCCAAACAAAGGACCAAGGGGATGTGGTGTGGTATGCTAGCTAGGGGACACATCCCAGCAGCATTTATTTATCTGTCTCAGCGCCAATTGTTGGAAGGTGTCAATTGTTGCATTATCTCAGCACTAGCCAGGGACACATACTGCTCTTTTTGAGAAGAGCAACAAAGTGCATCGACTACGAGATGTCCAAGGCCTGCTATGTGGAATTCTGCCTTGGCCAGCAGCATTCTGGCAGCACAGGATATCCTGGAGAATGTTCTCGCTTCCTCTATTTGCACTAGCCAGGGGAGGGCTAGGGCCTTCAGCATATGGCAGATATTGAATTTATTTTCTCCCCATATCCAAAGAGCATTAAGTGACTATTTGGGTTTAACTTTGACCTACATAGCACCTTATCATGTTAAAGGATCTTTGCTTGTGTATCAGCACAGCTTGAGGAGGCATCCGATGATGCCGCAGAGTCAGAAGCAGCCGCAATCATAGAATATCAGGGTTGGAAGAGACCTCAGGAGGTCATCGAGTCCAACCCCCTGCTCAAAGCAGGACCAATCCCCAACTAAATCATCCCAGCCAGGGCTTTGTTAAGCCTGACCTTAAAAACTTCTAAGGAAGGAGATTCCACCACTTCCCTAGGTAACGCATTCCAGTGTTTCACCACCCTCCTAGTGAAAACGTTTTTCCTAATATCCAACCTAAACCTCCCCCACTGCAACTTGAGACCATTATTCCTCGTTCTGTCATCTGCTACCACTGAGAACAGTCTAGATCCATCCTCTTTGGAATCCCCTTTCAGGTTGTTGAAAGCAGCTATCAAATCCCCCTCTCCCCCATTCTTCTCTTCCACAGACTAAACAATCCCAGTTCCCTCAGCCTCTCCTCATAAGTCATGTGTTCCAGTCCCCTAATCATTTTTGTTGCCCTCCACTGGACATTTTCCAATTTTTCCACATCCTTCTTGTAGTGTGGGGCCCGAAACTGGACACACTACTCCAGGTGAGGCATCACCAATGTCAAATAGAGGGGAACGATCACGTCCCTCAATCTGCTGGCAATGCCCCTACTTATACATCCCAAAATGCCACTGGACTTCTTGGCAACAACGGCACACTGCTGACTCATATCCAGCTTCTCGTCCACTGTCACCCCTAGGTCCTTTTCCGCAGAACTGCTGCCTAGCCATTCGGTCCCTAGTCTGTAGCGGTGCATTGGATTCTTCCATCCTAAGTGCAGGACTCTGCACTTGTCCTTGTTGAACCTCATCAGATTTCTTTTGGCCCAATCCTCTAATTTGTCTAGGGCCCTCTATATCCTATCCCTATCCTCCAGCGTATCTACCTCTCCTCCCAGTTTAGTGTCATCTGCAAACTTGCTGAGGGTGCAATCCACACCATCCTCCAGATCATTAATGAAGACATTGAACAAAACCGGCCCGAGGACCGACCCTTGGGGCACTCCACTTGATACCGGCTGCCAACTAGACATGGAGCCATTGATCACTACCCGTTGAGCCCGACAATCTAGCCAGCTTTCTGGGAATTGGTCCTGCTTCGAGAGGGGGTTGGACTAGATGACCTTCAGGGGTCCCTTCCAACCCTGATATTCTATGATTCTATGATTCCCCCGATCGCCATGAGTTTTCAATGGCTCTGCAATCACATCCGCCAACTCCTTTAGAACTCTCAGATGCAGCTCATCTGGACCCATGGACTTGTGCTCATCCAGTTTTTCTAAATAGTCCCGAACCACTTCTTTCTCCACAAAGGGCTGGTCACCTCCTCCCAATACTGTGCTGCCCAGTGCAGCAGTCTGGGAGCTGACCTTGTTTGTGAAGACAAAGGCAAAAAAAGCATTGAGTACATTAGGTTTTTCCATATCCTCTGTCACTAGGTTGCCTCCCTCATTCAGTAAGGGGCCCACACTTTCCTTGACTTTCTTCTTGTTGCTAACTGTGACAGGGTTGGGCCAGATGGCTATAGGAAAGTAATTTTTTTTTTTGAAGCAAAAGATGTTTTTATTTGCGTAACACACTTACAAAGTAAAAACAGCAGCATATGCAATGTGTAACACAGCAACCAATCACAATTGTTTTCTCATTAGCTTCAGGG